CAGCTTATGGGTTATTCAATTTTTCATATAATTTTCCATATATTATTGATGTTATACTAAAAGCCCTAGTGTGGCTCTATTGATATTAATAAATTCAAAGTCACCAATCTGCTGGCCATTTTCATTCATATTGTTGTCCCGAGTTTTTCTTGTTATGAGTGCAGAGGCATACAGATTCTTACTCATTAATACTACTTTACGAAATATAAAATACAGTTGTACAAATGTATAATTACAGAATAACTGATAAATATGACTTATTTTCATTCATGTTTGGTTTGTTTGAAGTTTCACATCATCACATTAGATAAGGTTTTACCAGAAGTCATGTGTGCTGAACTATTAATGACATCGAACCGAAATAAATGTTTCACATTTACAACAAAAAAACTTTGGTCGTATGCAGTGATTTTGTCAACACTAGAGATTTCCCATATCATGTAAAACCAACATGCATTTTCGATAACTTTATAAAATTTATCATGGTTCAAACATTTACAAGATATAAGGATCCAATCTATTTGATACAGTTGGCATGTTCCCACCCGTAACGAAACTCGGTCAATACTATTGTGGTTAACCCTTTCTCGCCCCTATACCTCCACGCACACACACATATAGTTTATACTGGACTCTTGGTTATTCATTTAACAGTCTCTAGAACTGAGGAGAGTGGGCTTGCTGACAGTATAAGGTATGGACTTTGCAGCTTAAATGTTTAAATCAAATTTTTTATTTGAAGATATGTTAATTTTGTTCATGTTAATGTATACTAGAAATATAAGCACTTTGCGACTTTTCTATGTTTGTATTTCACTGTGTTTTACTATTTTGCCTTCAAACTACTTTGTAGTTACAAATGTGCAAATAATTTTTTGAATTTGAATTTGAATTTATATTATACAGTTATATATGTAGAATGGGTTTTAGGGAAATAGTAAATTTATGGACTCCGGCATCCTCGATATCCAGGGTTTCGCTCACTTTCGTTCTCTGCACGAAAGTGAGCGTAACCCTGGATATCGAGGATGGGTCCCCCGAGGTGAAAAACTATTTCCAGAGGCGGCAAAGCCGTAAAGGGAAATAGTTTTTCACCAAGGGTGACTGTAAATTTGCTGTTTCCCGAATTACCCCATTAGTTTAAACATATTTTATTGTACAAATATACAAATGGATCGGACAACAAGTTATTACAAATAGTAAAAATAGTGTATATGTTTTTGGGGAAAGGGAAAAAGATAGGTTGAGGAAGGAAATGTGGGGTGGGAGGGGGTGGGGGTGATGGATGGGAGGGGTGTTACCTAGAAAAGTAAACGTGTAAACTGAGAAATCGATCCGCATTTGAATAAATTCTAAATTATACAGATTTCATGACATGCTTCCTTGTAGAGTAATTTCAAAATGAACAGAATCAATGTAACAAATAAATCAGGCAAAATAATGAAAAACAATTTCATAAACACATATAACATCTTACACATAAATAAAAATAGAACAGTAATCATAACTTTCAAAACCTATTGCTGGATTTGATGTAATGATGCACATGTCTAAAGATACTTATGTTTTTTTCAACCGAAAGTTGACTATTTCCAAACAAAAGTAGTTCTAAATTAAAATCAACATGCAAGGCATTCAAATTTTGGAGCAGGATTTGTCTTTCGTTGTTAAAAAGTAAGCACTCACAAAAAAAGTGAAAGGCATTTTCACAGGGATGGCCACAATAACAAACTGGACTATCAGCCAGATTTACTCTAAACAGATCATATTTAAGTGGCAACACTGATGTCTAAGTTTAGTATGCAAAATGTACAATGTTTCAGTTACCCCATCTTCGCTAGCCAAATGTTCGCTTCGTTTACAGTCCACTTACCCTAGTGGAGGGAATTATGAAAACACGGCTATATTCGCCAAGGGTACATGTAAGTGGAGTGTATCCGAAGCGAACACATGGCTAGGGAAGATGGAATTACACATTCTATAACTGTTTTATTATAACGAAACAAATTAAAGGGACGACATCACGTGAAAAGTCATATATTTTTTTAATGAACGTATGTGTTGTATGCACTTCCAATTATGCTACCTTGCTATCCCAATAGTCATAGTTCGTTCCAAATGTCCAGTTTGACCACTTGAATTATTCGATATAGCACCTGGCGGTTTTGAAACGAGGCGGTCTGAACGAGATCCAAAGGGCCGCCCAGAGAGGGGCCGTCGGGCAACTGCAACTTCTTACCGCACTATGAACAAGTAATATGATTTCTAAGTCCGTGTTGAAAATTATTGAATCAGTAATTATTCATCATCAGAAGTTAATTGCACACATGTCAATATTCAGAATATCAACGAAGAAATATTTGTTCGCAACTCAGCATTATTTATAGAAACCAGGAAATATATATTGCCGGAATGTGACCGGTACAAATGGATCGGGGCGAAACACCTTCTGTAAAAAGGAATATTCACGAGACGAATATCCCTATGCATTGACAAGTATAAAAAAGAAAAACGTTTGTGATTTTTTTTACATTGTACAATTCAGTGTTTTTGGCCACTTTTTTCCGTATCATGTATTTTATATATTCATGCATAATATCTTTTCAACTTTCACTGTCTTCATACTCTAACACTTAGTAAGTCATATTAGCCATCACAAACAATAAACATTTCTGGCAAAACCACTACGTGTACATCTAGAAAATGTGTCAGATATGGAACGTGTTGAGATACTTGATAATTATATGTATTCAATACTTTACATGGATTAAAGCATACAATGTAAATGGACCTTTTTATCATTTTTACAACGTAAACAAATGACTTTTTTTCCAGTTTTTCAATTCGTATTCCGATTCTATCTGAAGTCGAAAATAAATTATTAATAGAGAAAAAGTTGTTGCATGATTACATACATTGTAAGTCAACATCATGTGTAAACATGAACTGTTGAAACATAACGATGTAAACACTATTTTTGTTATGAGATCCTATTTACTATAAAAGTAGGTTCTTCTTCCTCAGTTATTCATCCTGAACCGATATTTTGACATATTTCAATCTTGCATGTAAATAAACATTTTTTTTTTTTACTTCAGCAATATAATTAAATCATATCATTTTACTGAACCTGGGAATATTATAAATTATGTAAATCCAATTGCGCACGTATCTCATTTGACCCCGAGTACCGACAGAGGACAGAACAGAATACGCCGTGGCTATCACAACAGTTATCCCTTGGAGGGCCTCACAGCAAAATCAAACTAACCAGTCACTTATCCCTTCCTTTCGCATAAACTACTGTACATAGAAACTCTCTCCGATACATGCCCATTAACATAACAAAATAAGTCCATCTGTGTTCCAACTCAGACAAAGATATGTTTAGTTATGTGTGTGTTATGCTTCTTCTTCGGATTTATTTTATTATTAAATGCGTTTTATATATAGTGCTGACAGTGGAAAATTGTAGTTCATAACGTGTGTTTTTATGTGTATGTGGTTTGCTTCAAAGTTTTATGCTAATATGTATTTTATGGTAAAAAATACTGTCCTGCTATATGTATGCATGTATATATATATAGCTTATAACTTTGCATGGAGACTTATGTTTTAACACTTTCTGTTAATGTTTCATAATGTTTTATATATGTAATTTCTTGAATTGATGCTTTTTACTTATGTTTGTCGGAATAATAGCTTTTAATAGCTGATGTTAAATGTTCTTAAATATCCGACGTTAAATAAAGTTTATTGTATTGTATTATTGTATTGTATTGTATACTAGCGAGGTTAATAGTTTTAGATATTTATTCATAAGATTAACAGCATTTCTGTTGATTCCAGAAATACCGATGAATATCTTAGATTTAATCTTTTTTATGAATCTATTTCAGTCAAACCCGATCGTTATTTTCCATAAGGAGACTTTCTTGATATGTTTATGTAGTATTTGAAAAAAAACAACAAACAAATAAGGCAATTTAAGAAATGAATTTATTAATTCATTATGATTTCTATAAACAAACTCTAAGAGAAAATAAAGTATTACAATTGGAAGTGCTCTATGCATCGTCGTTGATGGTATCATCATTATCTAGCATTCAAGAATAACATATTCCCGCGGTTCGGAGAATAGCGGTAATTATTTGTCTTATCGGTTCGATACGGATATTGCCGTGTGTGCTTAGCCAATCGGATTGGCTCTGTATGTAGCACGTGCGATACGTGTCAGCGTATCGGGTACGTGGGTCATTTTCTAGCCGCCTTTCCAGCGCGACGGTCATATTAAATTTTAATAATATAGCTTTTGGCAGAGTCAGCGGATTAGCGTAACGTGGATATGGTAGAGTAATCCCAGCAACTTGAAGTTTCGAGCCTTGAAGGGCTGGTGCACCTCCTGACTTTTCTGGTTTACCAGTTATTCAGGTTGGGTGGCTCGCTCGGCTTCCTATTCTCTACTATATCGCACTAGTGGGGAAAGATACACGTGAGAAAGATTAAAGTACGGATTGATATATATGTATAATAATAGCATTAGAATTGAACGTTTGTCAATGTGTGTTATTTTTGAAGCACATCGATTAAATGCTTGACCATAGCGCACGGCGGGCTAGGCGGGCAAACTGATATGTTTGTGTCGTGTTGTTGATCACGTAGTAGAGATTGGACGTGTTTTTGTAGAAGAAGATGTTTTCATTGGCTGAAATTTCATAAGCTCCGCCTTCAAATATTCACGAGGGAGTAGTACTAGCTCTTTCTGTCAGGGAGTAGTACTTCCTTGCATGGAGTAGTCCTATTTTGGGGAGGGAGTAGCCCTGAGATGGAGAGATTAAAGTGGTTTTAGGGAAATAGGACATTTTATCGTATTGTTTTTTATATAGGGAAAACTCAGTAGAGGTATAATACATATAGTTCCCTCCACACTCTGCACCTTGCTCGCCCCTAGCATTACACTACTACGCGATCCCCTCAGGTGGTGAAATATTATCCGCGATAACGGACTACTGTGTGAAACCTCTCGTATACCAAAACACTCACGGGACTTTCTTTTACAACAGTAGCGACTCTTCCGCAGTGAGCTGTAGAAACAGAATGGCTACAACAGGGAACAGCGTCCCGAAATCTATCTCCATTCTCGACCTCATCGTGAAGAAAAGGCAAGGGATGGCTCTTACTAAGGAGGAGATAGAGTATTTTGTACAGGGAGTGGTAGACGATGCCGTCGCTAAGGAACAGCTGGGTATGTGATCATTGTGTCCGTCCACATCCGTTTAGCTAGGTCAGGGAGAGGGAGGTAGGGATGTTGCACATGTGAACCATGTTTTCCACATTGATCAAGATAAGGAGTCTGTTTCAATTAAGCTCAAATTACGACGGTGTTGGTTTGTTTAAGACGGCAACTATAACTATATTTCCAAAGTTAAATTGATATGTACGCGGTATAATTATTAACTAGTGTTTTGTATCCTTATTGATATATGTATAAGGGGTCAAATACTGAGAAATTCTATGTTGGTTCTGATGCCTGGTCATAGTTAGATAGTTATAGAGTGGAACCACCTGGAAGATGACGTAGTATGTGCCTTTAATTTGGAGGCCTTTAAGAGTGCTATAACGCACCAAAAAATAATCTGAACTGCTCTCTCTCCCGTTGTATAAAAACCGGAACCGGGTACTACAACGTACAGATACAGATACGCCGGTGAAAAAGCGGTGGTGTACGCTAGTCTAGATCTGACATTGCATCCTATTATCATGAACATACTAAAAAATAGTACATATTTTAAGTCTGTTTAACAGAATTCATCTCATGTCATTATAATTCATGAACCACAGGTACTAGCCTCGTCTGTCGATACACCTATAATATAATTGCTAACTCTGTCCCCCTAGTATAATGACCCCGTTACAGAAAACATTCGATTTAGCACAAGTCAAGACCTATAGTTGCTGCATTCCTCTTTCATAAAGATTTGGAAATGGTGCGTGACAGTTGGCAAGGTACTAATTATTGTATCAATGAGCAGTTTCCGAAGTCGGTGGAAGACAGACGTAAAAATCTGTATCCAATCTACAAAGATTTCAAAAGGGCAGGCCACAAAGTTAAAATGGTGAGGGACAAGTTAATGTAGACGGAGAGCTTTATGAAGTACAAGTAAAAGTCACGAAGTCATCTGTGAGGAAATCATATAGTGATGTGGCTAATACACGGGTCCCCAATAACCCAGTACACAGTGGAAGAGGGTCTAAAAGAACACGTGCCCCATCCACACCCTAAGGCCAGGAAAAAAATGAAACCACACGTGCCCCTGCGCCGTCTAGACCCCGTTACGATATACCAAGAAAGGACCATGTGAATAGCGATCTCAATTTTCTGTCCCCCGTCAGATGACTAATGACTCTATGCATGTGAGCGATAAGCCAGACAGCTATCACAGAACCACAAAATGTCTCCCGCAGCTCACCACAAGTGGTACCGGATATGATCGGGGTATTGTCAGTTTCCGGTATTCACTGATTGTGGGCCCATTTCGAAATGGTTGAGCGTCCCTCCTAGTACTCCTGGCTGTGGTGGTGCGCCCACACCAGTTGAGGAACAGAGGCCCGCCGGGTTTAGCCCAGGACAGTTCGCTTCGAGCGTCCCTCCTAGTGCTCCTGGTTGTGGTGGTGCGTCCACGCCAGTTGAGGGACAGAGGACCGCCGGGTTTAGCCCAGGACAGTTTGCTTCAAGCGTCCCTCCTAGTACTCCTGGTTGTGGTGGTGCGTCCACGCCAGTTGAGGAACAGAGGAACGCCGAGTTTAGCCCAGAACAGTCTGTGTCAACTCACTTGACCAATGTTAGGGAGATGCTGGACATGGACGAGGTGGTGACCGAGGTCCCTACACCCGTTAACAAAATACCGGTAGAGTCACACAAATCCACCTAGGACAGGCAGGAGTGTGAGTCATACAAAATCTTATCATGGAATGTTTGTAGAAGCCTGAGTGACAAATTGAAGGATATTGATTTTGTGAAAATTTTAACGGCACATGATATACAAATGTAGTTTTCTTGTATGAATGTTGGGTTAATCATAATGATGAAATTTCATTGGATGAGTACTATACATATAGATTCCCTAGAGTAAATGGAAAGGGAGGCGGAATTGTAATATATTATTCTCTTTATTGCCTCCAAAGATGAAGATTACAAAGTAATGTGGAACATATATACAAAGTATTTGGTACATATATACACGAATACATAATATGCATTACATAAATATACACTTTATATATAGGGATGTGTATATAAGGTGTAAAATAATGAAATATTTTAGAGTAAACCTAAAAAGTTTCAATATACAGATTGCAAATTGATTTGCACAAGCCAAGTAAATTATAATAAATTGTATTGATACGTGGTACGTAATACTTATACATGACTATGTATAGACATCAATGTATCGTTGTATTTGTAAATACATGCAATAAAGGCATTTATTGTAACATACAAACTATAAACGCGGAGGATAATTTGTGGGTCTGGATCACACAAGGCTGGGGGATATCCCCACCTGCGAGGTGTTACGGACCCACACATGTATACTCCCATGCATCTTAATCTGTAGTATAGTTCATATAGTATCTCATGTGATATCTTTTGCTAAGTGCACATAACTTATAGAAAGTTCTACATTAGATATGTATGTATTTAACTTTTAATCATAACTATTATATACATTAAGTATAATATAGTTTACACATCTTGTACACATAAATGATGGATTTTATCCTGAAATCAATCAACTCTTCCTCACTAATTTTGTAGGTTATATTTCCTCCAATCATTATGTGTAATATCTCAAGATCTGGGAGAGAGTGTAAATAGACACTAAACAGTATATCCTTGATATTAATTATACAGCACCATAGTTGGTCCCTCAACTCGGAAGTATAAGTACACTGTAGGACTAGAGGTGTCATTGGGTCTTGTTATAAAAACCCACATTTATGACATTATTCCATGGTATTCAAGCTGCGGATGGTTACACCTATTGTCATTATATATAGTATATATTCTCTGTATTGAGGAAATCGAAGCGCTAGCTTCCATAAAGTATTAGGTTTGAGTTGGTTATGTATTTCTCGAAATCTTGTAAAATCATTATCAACTTTCATGCGTTCCTTTAGATTGTGTCCCTCATATTTCATTACAGAATTATATTCTGTGGTTTTCCAATCACTTTTCTTTCGAAAGATTCCAGTTTCAACAGAATTATCTAGATTTTGATGCAACGAATACATTTTTAATATTTTGACTATGTCGGGGATGAATCCGTTCTGGTACGGTCTACCTAGTCGAAACAAAAAGAGTCTTGTTATAAAAACTTTATAAACAAGAGACATTGGGTTCATTCTACACAATCTTCCCAAGAATAATAATTTTCTAATGTCTATATATGCCTCAATAGAGGTCCAACCAAGTAAGGATGTACACATGTCTGTTCTGGTTCTTTTTTCAAAACCTTCAATATACGTTTAACAGTAAAATGTTGTGCTCTTTCTAACATTATTATTTCGATTTATGTCAATTGCCAAAGCTCGCACCCGTATAAGGCGGATGGATAAACTTTAATTTTGATAAGCTTCGCTACTGATAAAGTGTTGAGAGCACAAGGATGTGCACCGGAACGAACAAGGGTAATCGTACCCGATCTTAACTTATTACATGCAAGTGTTGTTCTCTCAAAAGAGTTCTGTTTAGAGTTTAATAAAATACCAACATGTGTAATGCCGTCAGTCTGTGACATAATACAATTGTAGAGATAAAGATCTTTATACATAGTACAAGTTCTACTACATGTACTTTGGTTTGTGAAAGTTACAATTTTGCTTTTTACAGCAGATAATGAAAAACGCCATTTTTTACTATAATTCTCACATATTGATATCATTTTCTGAAGACTTTTGAGACTCGTACTCACCAGACAAATGTCATCTGCCTGTGTAGGAACATTAACATTTAAATCAACAATTACTGCACCAAAACCAGAATTCTCTATTTCATTTAATAAATCGTTAATAAAACCAAATACATTTTGGCAGACAACGCCCCTCCTTGTAATATTCCACGTTCCATTTTGAGCATGGATGACTTTAATCCATGAAATAAAACACAACTTTCAACATTTGTATACATGCATTTTAGTAAAATCCACGTCTTGGCGTTTAGACCCAATTAATAAATTTTGTACAATAATCCAGCGTGCCACACAATGTCAAGCGCTTTGTTACTATCTAAGAAAGCAACGTGGACGTTGGAACCGTATTCAATATTATGACTAATGCATTCTTGAAGACTGAATGATGTGCATAAACTACACAAATGCTTTTGATAAGCAGACTGTTGTATATTTGGAAATAAACGGGAATTTAAAACTCGTTGAATTCTTTGTGATAAAACCATTTCAGACATTTTAAATAATATAGGTAATAATGTAATTCCCCTGTAGCTATTGGGGTCTTCTTTCTTTTTACCTTGACCTTTATACAAAGTAATAATAATACCTTTTTTCCAGCCGTTTGGAATATATTCATTTTTTATAACATTATTAAATAAGGTGGCGATATATTCAGAAAGTTTTGTTCCACCGTGTTTAATATGTTCATATACTATACCGTCCCATCCTCCTGCTTTTTTAGATTTGAGACCTCTAGACACCAAGGCAATTTCCGAGGTGGTAATGCATTCATTCAGGTTTATGTCTTCCTCATTATGAACTTGTTTTTCAATTTCATTAACAAGGTTTATGATTTCTCTTTGGAACGTATTGTCAAATTCTTCATTCGGTTTATCTTGGAACAGATTTTCAAAATGTGACGCCCACGCTTCGACAATGTTTTTGGGGTCTCGTAAAATTTCATTGTTGTATTTCATTTCGGTTTGAGGTGTTTTACTTTTACATGCTTTTCCTTTGTATAACTGCCAGGATAAATTCTGATCAAGTTCACTGCATTTTTCTATTTCATTAAATTGTTCTGACATATACTTATTGAATGCATCACGTAGGTTTCTTCTGAAAGAAGTTTTGCTTTCTTTTTACTCTAGAAAACTATTAGATACATTTCTAGGTTTCCCTTCACTTATCCATATTTGTCTTTTAATTTGCACTTTATTGTGCATTTCTGACAACTCGTTAAACCAATAAGGTTTTAAATAACTTTTGTACTTTCTTATAGGTAAGGTAGTATTAGAGG